CCCTCTCAGCCAGAGTACTATTACGCTCCACATTCTACCAGTGCATGTTGATGGGTTTCAATGATGAATGCCGTTCAGATGTGATGTGCTCTGCTTTGTTCTAATGGAATGGTCTGCCGGCGCTACAGCTCTATGGAGAGTACCAGGAGAACCAGGGTGGCTCGGGCAGACGGGAGGCCACACGCCTGCTGACGGAGAGGCAGATCAAGAAACATGGAAATCATCATCATCATCATCACAGCCATGAGAGGACACATGGTCGCCATAGTTACGGCCACCAACATGGCAATCACAGCAGGCAAAAGACAAGATTTCAGCCCAACATGGAAAGTGAGGCTACAGATGAGCAAATGGCTGATAACGAATTTACCTCCACGAGGAAAATGCGATCCTACTCTAAATGCAGAGGTTAGCATCATCAAGTAAAAAATATTTAAGATGCGGACCATTTTCTAATCTTCTGCTGCTTGGATTCACAGACTGCATAGCACGGGTGCAGCGGTTTCTTGTCACGAGGCTGGGAGAAGACTGGATCTTCCTGGTTCTACTGGGAATCACGATGGCTCTGGTCAGCTGGACTATGGACTATGCTAGTGCAAAAAGCCTGCAAGGTATAATTAAACACAGATGAGTAGTTGCACAAAATGGAATTTCTTCCTTCATGTTTTCCCTTTGTTTCCCATTACACTTTAAATCCTCCATTTCCATTTTCTAGCATAATAGCTTCATCACATTTTTGGTCATCATTTTTGTCTTTACTCCCTTCAGTTTTTCCTCCTTGTCCAAATTCCTCTTTCTTTAGCGTATAAATGGATTTATAAGGAACTGAAGGGAAACATCCCCCTGCAGTACCTGGCCTGGGTTTCCTATCCCCTGATGTTTATCCTCTTCTCCTCACTTTTCTGTCACCTGGTTTCTCCTCAAGCTATCGGTTTGTACCAACTCTACCCTCATGTTTACCTTCACGCTTCTCTGTGAAAACCTGCATGTCCAGGAGAATATCTGTTTGCTCTTACCTTAACTTACACTGGCTGAACCAATATTATTCTATTCCATGATGTTTAGTTTAACTATGTTAATTTGCTCTGCGTCAAGTTTGGTTGTTTAAGCTGACTGTTTGAAAATGAAGTTGAAATTCCCATACTTCTTCATATTGTCCTCTGTCTTATACCTCAAAACAATATTTTGTTACTTGCCCAACTTTCAGTAAATGGTTCTCCAGCATTGCCTTCCGTAATGTGATGAAAATCTGAGCCAATCTGGCAAAGATTTTACTAAGTCTAAAAGTACAAATTTTCTTTTCAAAATATTTCATGGTAAGAAGATCACATCTTAGAGATACTATTCCAGAAACAGAAATAGTCCTCTGTTGACCTTTTTCTGAAGAACTTTACAGTGTGACCTTAAGATGTAAAACAAATAGTTTTATTTACAGAGAAGACTGTGCTCCTATAAACTCAGTCTTGCCTTTTTTTGTAAGGTTCTGGTATCCCTGAGTTGAAGACCATTCTGAGAGGTGTTGTTCTTAAGGAATATTTGACTCTAAAGGCTTTTATTGCAAAAGTCATTGGCCTGACTGCAGCTCTGGGCAGTGGGATGCCCGTAGGAAAAGAGGTAGGCAAAGAAATAACCCACCCCCCTTGCTTTTCTTTCTTTTTGTTTGGAGTGTGATGGTCAGTTTTTACTATTTGATTCAAATTTTCCTGTTCTCCTCCACCCAGGGTCCTTTTGTACACATCGCAAGCATCTGTGCAGCAGTTCTCAGCCGCTTCATGTCCTTCTTTTCAGGAGTGTATCAGGTAAGCTAAAGTCAGGAAACGCAAGGTTTTCCATGCAGATTTTCCCTGTAACTGTAAATAATGTATATGATGGAAATATCTTGCAGTTTTTCCTTATTTTAATTACCTCTCCTTGCTCTTTGGATCAGTAGAATCCCTACTGTTACACGGACATCCTGACAGTGGGCTGTGCTGTTGGGGTGGGCTGCTGCTTTGGTACTCCACTTGGAGGTAGTCAACCATGTTCATTTTATTTGTAATTTTTGTTTGTTTCCTCGTTTGTCTGTTTGTTTTTAGCCAACTTTACTTGCAATGATGCGTAGAGAAGTATTTATTAAAGATAGTTCAGAATCTGACTGAAAAATCTGCAAAACCTTTTTTAATGACAAATGTTTAAATTAGTCTGAAATATATAATGACATTTTTAAATGTTGAAAATATAAAGCTGCAACATTTGATATGTTCTGCATGTTTTCTTTCTTTGTGCTTTTGTTCTTTTTCTCCAACAGGTGTGCTCTTTAGCATTGAGGTAACATCCACATACTTTGCTGTGAGAAACTACTGGAGAGGATACTTTGCTGCTACATTTAGTGCCTTCATCTTTAGAGTGCTATCTGTGTTTAACAAGGATGCAGGTATGGATCGGAGAGAAATATTTGCATGTACTGTATGAATAGGATCATGTATGTCTCTTCCACAAGGGGGCGCCATTTTTCTACTTTCCGTTATTAAACAAATTCGACTCTGTGTTTATGGGCTAAAACGTACATCTGATCAAAACGTTCATTTCTCTGATTTTATTTTTGGACTGAGTTGCAAAAGGATTCATTAATTTTTCCCTCTTTTTTTCTAGATTTTTAAAATGTTGAGTCTTTTTTGTTGTTTTCTAGTGACCATCACTGCTCTGTTCAGGACAAACTTTCGTATGGATTTCCCGTTTGATCTTCAGGAACTTCCTGCATTCGCAATCATTGGGTGAGTAATTGAAAAACATAGAAAGACATGTGGAGCCCCATTTTGAACGTATCCACATTTCAACCAAAATGTTATTTCAAATACATGTTGGTTGCCTCAGATGTCTGAGGATATAAAACTCAAAATTTACCTCAGAAATCAAGAAATGTCACTAATATAATTTTTGTGTCTCCATTTGTTCAACAGTAAAAATCAAGAGGTTTCTTCTCAGAAAATAAACTTGTGTGGAATATCAGAGACTTTCCAGCTTTTACTTATTAGCTTACCAATATTCCAGCTATTTTAATATAAAGGAATATATTTTTAGTAAGCTGTTTTGCTTTAATAGTGAGCGCTGTAACTCCAGGTTCCTCTGTCTTTGCAGGATTGCCTGTGGATTTCTTGGGGCGTTTTTTGTCTACCTGAACAGACAGGTGGTGCTGTTCATGAGACGACCAAACGCAATGACCCGCTTCCTGATTAAACAGTGAGTCTTTGTATGTTACAGTGTGAAGAATTTATTTGTCGTATATGCTTAACTGAACACAGATTTATGAATTTTATTTGCAGGTCATAATATTCTTCACAGACATATTCAAATAGTTATTTGTGTTTTGTTATTAATAACAGCTTTTTTCTTCTCTTCCTCTGTTTCTTTGTGTGTGTGTGTGTGTGTGTGTGTGTGTGTGTGTGTGTATGTGTGTTGTGTGCGTGTGTGTTTTAACACTTCAAGTCGACTCATCTTTCCAGCTACTGTTACACTGGTCATTGCCACCTTGACCTTCCCACCAGGGTTTGGACAGTTTATGGCTGGAGAGGTCAGAGTGCAAATTTGATCATTTTAGCCTGTCTTAAAGCAAAACATAACAAAACAAAAAAACAATTCTGTTTTGTTCCATAGCTACAACAACCAGTAGTTTCTACAAATAGGTACGATGATAATTATGTGGCTGCTTTCTACTCGTAGCTGGTTTATCACATGGTTTTTCCTGAAGTTCAAAGGTAAATTTTATCTCCCATAAAAATTTGTTTTATTCAAATTTTGTGAAACAGGGAACAAGAGAAAAAAATAATAAACAATGGTGGGACAGAAAAAAACAATGTAATAAGTTAATTATTTGAACAAAAATATTTAAAATAATATTATGCATTGATGCAAAAAGAGAAAATAATTTGAGGGTTTCCGACTTCAAAAGTTGCAAAATGCAGACTCCTGCTAAGCTATTCACACCCCTAAACCATTCTACATTTTGTCACATTGCATCCACACAGTCAGTAAATAGAGCTGTTCACAAATAAATCCCTGGCACGGAAAGCAGCAATTTGCCACAAGCAAACATGTGGAAGAAGGCGCTCAAGCCAGATGAGACAAAAGCTCAACCTTTTGCAACTATGTGCAAAATGCTTTGACAACCAAAGTTGCAAGGAAATAGTTTTGATTGTTGTCTACACAGAAACAAAGTTAGCTTTAGCTATCTTGCGAATATAAATGGGTAAACATTTCAGTCAGCTTTCAAAGTTCAAAGCTTTAAGAGAGACATCTGTTAAAACTTTGTGCTGCAGTTGCAGTGAAAGGTAGTTATGTAAAAAGCTGACTCACAGGGGCTGAATATAGATGCACAACTTCAGATTTATTTTCTAAAAACATATAAGATCTTGTTTTATTTCCCTTGTGCTTCTTAGTAATACACTAATTTGTGATGGTTTATCAAATAAAACTGAAGTTTGTAGTGGTGACAAGATAGAAAAAAAGTTAAAGGGATGTTAATAGTGAGCAAAAATCTGCGTTATGTACTCATTAGAATACTAATCCAAAAGTTAAATTGGAAAACTCTGAGAAGCATGTCTGAACACCTAAACATGTAAAATAAACCATAAATTAAAATTGTGAAGCTAAATGTATTAGCAGCTCTGAGCCAAAATTAAGCCTCATCACGAGGTCCACAGATGCTCAGAATAGACCACTTAATGATCAATATATAATTAATTATATACTGTACATACACACTAGTGTACCAGTGTGTATATATATAGTAACATATATAGTAACTTATGCCGCTTTCGTCAAAGCAAAATTTGATTTTTTGGACCCAACTGTCTCCTTCTCATTGGGATGATTGACAAAGTTGTGTCTCCATAGTGTTCCATAAAGAAGTATACAGACAATATATAGAAAAAATAAAACCCCAAAATAATCACTAAAGTAAAGAGAATCTCGTAATAAAAATAAAAAGCACAAGCAATACAAACCAAAAAACAACAATAACAAAAGTTGTTCCCATATATTTTTGAGAAAACACAAAATTTCTGTCTCCTTCACGTTATCTTCTTTGCAGCAAACTTCCCCAACCGGAGAAGTTTGGTCTTTTAGAAGACTGGGGAAATCATTCCCTCGGACAGTGGTCTGGACAGCACTCTCTTCATGGGTCCAGACTTCTAGAGCCGCCTTCATCAAAGTAAAACTTGATTTTCTGAACCCAACTGTCTCCTTCTCACTGATAAGATTGGCACAATCATTCCCTCGGACAGTGATCTGGACAGGCTACAAACTTCCCCAGCCTGGGAAGCTTGCTTGTCAGTCGAGGAAGGCTCCCGAAGAACTTCCCCAGTCGGGGAAGGTTCATAAAGAAAGGCATCAAAAACATCATACACAGAGAAGCAAACTTCCCCAGCCAGGGAAGGCGTTTATTCTTTATATGCCTGTGGTTTCTTTGCTAGCTGTTTGGACATTTTCTGCTCTATTACTCAGCTCGTAGCGGGTTCTGGTTTTGGTTCTAATAGTTCATGTTGTGAAAACAAAAAAACAAACTTACAGAGTTGTTTGGGTCCTCCAGATCCGAGCACCTTTACCGTCATACATAATGAACCGATGGTCTGCGGAAAAGAATTAGCACTTCCCTCAGTTAACATTCAAACTACTTTGATAGTTGTTTGTAAAACAAAACAAAACAAAAAAAAGAATAAAATTAAATAAATACTTCGGTTGTTGGAAATGAAACTAACAGACTGGTTCCGACAGGAAGGTAGCATACTAGCATAGTTAGCTTACCTGACTTTCCACCATGTTTTCCTCTTCATGGCAGACCTCTCTTCTACCCCTCAGCAGGTTTTCACCTCAGCTTCAATTAAAAAAGGTGCTTAATTTCTCAAAATGGCCTTATATTGTTTTACCTTAAATTTAAGGGGGAGTTTTTATCATTAAAAAGCTTCATGTGCAGCTTCTTCGGGCCATTTTCTCCTACAAGTGGCGCCAATCAGAATACTCCAGGCTGCACCTGCAGCTGTCCAGATGGTGCGTTTGCAGCTTCAGGACATTTGAGCACCACTCTGCCACACATCGTTTCCCAGTCAAAAACAGCCCAACATACAGTGGACATTTTTAATTAAAAAATAAAACGCAGCTGCATAAAATAAAACTGGTTGAAGCGAAGCTGCAATCCTAAATAACAAGCAGCATCGCAGCAGTTTTACAAATGTTCATAAAAAATGTTTTATTATCATCAATATTTCTTCTTCTTTTACATTTTTTTTTTTTTTTACAAATATTAATGTTGTGCAACTGAAAAGGAGCTGAAAATTCACAGTTAGAAGCCTGACCTGGACAGAGAGAGCTGTAACAAGGCAACAGTGGACAGATAGGGACGAAAAAGCCAGGACACACACACACACACACACACACACATGCAGGCGCACACCCACACACACCCGCATATGCACACGCACACACATCAAATAAACTGGATTGGAATTGAACTTGTATTTCACCTGCACCTGCACCTGTAGCTAACCCCTCACATCACACAAGCTCCCAAACACAACAAAAAGCAATTTGAGGCATAATAAAAACAAATTCAGTATAGAGGATATAAAGGCCCTAAATCAAACTACCCTAGTTGATTCCTTGCTGAAGCCGTGAGCAGATGTTTCACTGCCCAACAGGTCATAGGTTGTACGTTCACACATACTGTCCGACACAAGATGCTAAACATCTTATATAATTTTGCAGGATGTTAAACATAACATTTTGAACATCTAATGGTCAACATATGTTGATGATGTTCTTATGTTGTTGTATGAGAGAATTTCATAATTGACATCCTAAACAGTATAAAGAATGAACTGTTGACAAAAAAATTACCGATTGTTGACTTATTTCCCTTTTAGTATAGTTAATTCAGAAGTAATTACTTCACATTTATATAATTACAATAATAAACTTTTACTGTGTAAAAGAAAACTTACGACAGTTGGTTTGTGTTGTATAACAAAAAAAAAAAAACATGATAAAAATGAATTAAATTAAGTTTAATTGATAAATAACAGATTGTTTGATCATGCAAAATAGATTTTGGATTTCAAATTCAAGTAAGCTGCTTTATTTTGGGGTTTTTGTTAGGGTGGGACATTTTTGACCCGTAGGACAAGGCGAGTAAACAGAATGTTAAGATCGTATGAGGGTTAAATAAACAGGAAAAATGATACCTGAAATTAAGTCGATTATAGAAAATATAGCTGCACAATGGATCATCTAACCTTTACTTTTACTTATCTATCATTATATTTCTTGTTTTCGTGAATAAAATCCTTACTGTCCAAGGAGAGTAGTGTAAAGTTACAGAAGCAACAACACAAGAGGAAAGTGAATGCTAAGAAGTAGGATTAGACCCAAAATGTCAAAACGTGAAATTAAAGACAATTTAGACTTTTTTGTTGACGTTCAAGATTCATCTTACATCTTCCATGGTGGGCATCAATTTAACCCCGACACAAGCAGGAAGTGCAAAAGTGGAAAATCAAAATGACACTGGCGTTGCTATTTTCCCTGCAGAGGCATTATGCAGATGCAGCACTATGGTTTTCTGGCTCAGAGCAAATTCAGAGACATCTATGCAAATGTGGAGCAAAATGGTTGAAGTGAATTAGTCATTCATGAGTCATCCAAAGGGAATGATTCATTTGGACACGGCCACCCATACCAGTCTACGTCCCGCTTGATGAATGACTTCCTGCATGTTTATTATATCCGACTTCTTTTCACTTTTATCTAATCTAAAATCTTTTATTTCTCATCCTCCTTTTGTTAAGCTTCACTCTGTCTCAAACTGTTTTCCTTTTTCTTTCTCTCATCGAGTCCAAAGAGTATTTCTTCTTTTTATCTTAATTTCTTCTTCTGTCTCTTTCCTCTGCTTCACTCTTCTTGATAATTTTCTTGTCCCACACTTTAATTTTTTTTTTACCTCTTTGTGCATTCAGTTTTTCTGTTTCCTCTTGTTTGCCTCATGTCTTTTAGACTTTTAACCATTTTTGTATTCCATTTTTCCCACTGACTGATGGCTTTCTGTTCTCAATCCTCTTCCGTCCCCTTTCCATCGTTCTGCTTTGTCTTTCTTCCCCTCTGTTTCTCACCTTTCCTCCCACGTCTCCAGCTAATGCCCAGGGAGTGCATCAACTCTTTGTTTGATAACTTTACATGGACGAAGATTTCGGGATCTCCCTCTCCGGCTGTTCTGGGCCGGTCTGCTGCGTGGCTGCACCCTGACGTTAGCGTCTTTATCATCCTGCTGCTCTTCTTCATCATGAAGGTACGTGCCTGTCTCCTGGGAAATTGTGTGTGTGTGTGTGTGTGTTTGAGTGTGGTATTTGCTGCGTTAGATATTTAGGTGTTTTATTGTTTGGTGTCTGGACACAAATTTCTGCTTGCGTTGCATCTACCTCCTTGGATGTGACTGAGATTGTTTGTGCGTGGCCCCGGTGCCACCTGACGTCAGCATTTTCGTCATCCTCCTCTTCGTCAGGGACAATTGTTGCAGGGTCACTTGTGTTGTGTCTGTGATTGGGACATCTGTGTATGTGTGTGTTCTAGTGTGAGTTTGCCTCCACATTTTATTCTTGTCCAAGGTCAGCAATGCTGGCAAGCTTCCAGCACCTCTTGCTGTTTTATGATTTCTTAGAAACTTGTACACACACGCACACACTTCCTGTGTGATGACGATTCTAATAAGCAAAGCAATTTACTCTTTGTAACCTGAACAAGGAGCTTAGATGACAGTGAGACATGAAGGGCAGAATTTATTTTCCCTGAGGTGTATCCTGGGTCTTTCCGAAATGCGCCTCAGGGATGTGATCCCAACCTGAAAAGAGCAATCCACTGTTTTTTCTTTTTGGTTAAGAGCCTTTGCCTCATATTTAAGTCATTACCTGACATATTGTTTTATTTTAACTGTCGTCTTGATCCCCTTGGTTGAAATTTTCCTTAGCAGAATGTGTATAACGTCACCCATCTGATGACTCAGATTCAGATTTAACATCATCATTTCTCTCTCTTTGTGTTTGATACCAAAGTCTGAGCAGAAATCTCCAGATGTCTCCAGCCTCAGGTACCTCTAAGACATTTCTGAGCCCACTATTAGACTTGATATTTCTACAGTGAGGTTTCCTTAATGATTAACATGTGTGAAACAGGTATGGAAAGCATCCCTGCCAAATCTTAATTGTATCCCATGAATCTCATCTTCCATTTAAGTTGTTGAAATTATTAAAACTGATTCAACTGGAGTGCCTATCTGACTAGGATTAGTGGACTATTGACAGCATTTTTAGAAATCACCTCTTCAAAAAAACACAAATTATCTTGAGAAAATCATTTGCAAGTACAATGTGATATGTGATATGACAACTTGGTGCCATGTAAGTGCCAAAAAACTGTTTTTTCTTTCTACATTTAGGGTTACAGCAAACTAATGCTCTTCCTTTCGTAGTGTATTGTCCACAGTGGCAATCTGTGTGCTACAGTTTCCACTTTAGTTTCTAAAGATACGTCTGATCATCCCTGGCATAAAGTGATTAGTTAATGTTAAAACTAGAATGTATAATCTCTGTATTCAATTCAATACATTGATAATTCTGCTCATAATTTCATTGTGGTGATGGATAAACTTGTGCAGATACACAGCAGCTGCAGCCAGTCCGATCTAAGTTTTGCTGTAAATTTCATTGTAAAGAATGAAAAATACTTTGATCAGTTTAGTTAGATCAATAGCCTGTATGTTTATGCAATGAGGCCAATCAAATCTGGACATCCCTGGTTTAAACCTCCACACCGTCTTTCTTTTTTGGTGTCCTGTATTTTATTTTACTTTGAAACACACTTGGACTTCTGCACTAATTTCATAGCATGTTGCTAGTACCATCTGTCAAAGGATTTGTGACACCGACGAAAGAGTGTGTGCCGACTGACATGTCTTTTTGTGTGTGAAACTGCTTTTGTGAGTTGTGTGTCTTTCTGCCTGATTGATTTTGGCTGTTGAGATTAAAAGAGAGGAAAAAAACTGAGCACACTCTTCTCTGTCATCAGCAGAGGAGCTGCCCTGTGAGAGACGTGCTAATGAGTTTTTATTTTCTTCCATAGTAATTTAGTTCTCAAACACTGATGTGAGATGACGCATGGAATAGTATTCTGGACTGGTGAAATGGTAATGTTATGTTTCCAAAAACTCTTTTCGAATGAGGGCGGCGGTGTGCAGCAGGTGTTTTGGAGGGGTTCTGGTAAACCACAGATGTTTTCAGGTAAATGCCAAAAAACAAACAAAAAAAATCCACCACTAAGGTTGTTATTATCTCTGATGGGGACGAGAACAAAGCATATTATTATAAATGCAGATTTGAAATTACATTCAAATTAAGAAAGTGTTGTTTTGAAAATAATGCAATTGACATTTGAAAGCAAAGTTTAGCACGAGTCCAGAGGAGTTTGTTCATTCTTCATGCCTCCTTTCACACTTCCACTGGTAAGCAGCCCACACTGAGCTGGCAAGGCTGCAGCAGCGGCATCTGTAGCTTCTCTGGGGCAGATGTTCATTAAGTGCCATGCTCAAGCATACCCAGGGATGATTGAATCTCCTCCCCGACCTTACATACAAAACAGCACAAACGCCATCACTGGAACTCATCAAGCTGTGGCTGAATAGGAAGATTTTTTTCCCCCCAACTCAAATGGGGAAAAAAAAAGTTAATAAGAAGCTCAAATTGTGTGGTACTATACACTCTTGTTGCTATGCGACGTGACACCTTGGCTGCAGTCTGAATGTAAGGTGGGTAACATAATGAGAGTAAAAGAGCAGTTATTAAACGAAAATATAATACATTTTTCTTGTCTCATAATGTCTCAAAATTAGTTGTTCAGCTTGTCAAAACCTTGTATGAATGCTGCACTACATATACAAACAACTTATTCAAATTTGTGTTCAATCATTTTAAGATGTGCTTCAAACTCTTTTATTGGCAGATTTTCAGTATTGCATCTCTTTCTGACATGCAGTTCTGGATGTCTGCAGTGGCCACCACCATGCCCATTCCATCTGGGGCCTTCATGCCCGTCTTCATACTCGGTGAGAAAGAAACAACAAGTGATTATTATTGGGTGGAAATTATTTTTTTCATTCCTCAACCATCAATCCATTTTCTACACAGTGACTATCTCCAGCTGCCTATAGGGGAGAGGCTGGGTCAACTCTGGTCAGCTTCCCAGCTCATGAAAAGGCAACACAGAGACAGACATAGCAAATAACTGTTCATAAATTACTATTTTTGATGCCATCAGCTGAAGGAGTAATCATTTAAGTTGTAAACATCAACTATCACTCATTATTATGATTATGATGGTTGAAAATACTTTTGTGCTTTTGCTAGATGAACTAAATAATCCGCTCGGCCAACAATACAGTTTTCCAATTCTTGCACATGAAAACAGGCCAGGTGCTTTTTGTATAATTAAAACCTGCAACCAATGTTAATAAATGTGGTTCCAAATGTGTTAGATGTTATTAGTTATTTGTGACATTAAACTGATACATTTTCATCCCGCTGTGTTCCAAAATATTAACAGTTTTTAATTTTCACTAATTTAAAGCAGATTTTAAATTTCAAAAGCTGGATTCTCTCCATTGTACTGACTTGAACATCATATTCACCAGATTCCTACAATTGAAAAGATGGTTCAGTGTGCAAAGCACTTCTGAAGGAGAACTAAAGGCAGAACAACTTCATGCTCTTCCTTGTTGTTTTATGCATCCTTAAATCTAGCTCAGTACCTCTTTAAAATATGCAGATGGATGCCCTATTTGCTCCCTTCACATTAAAATTGGACCCAAATTTCAAATAGATCAAAAGCTGTTTTTAAAGATTGCCTCCGGGCAGAAATACATTATTTGGTCAGAGAGCCTCAAGTGAAGAACTTTGAAGTGATAATTTCTAAGCGCTGCCTCTACATTAAACTTACTGCACTGTCTCACTGTATTACTGGAACCTGATGTGGATGTGTGACCTAGTTGAAGAAATTTTATTTGTCCTCTCTCATGCTTCTTCTGCCAACTGTTTTTTTTTAAGTAAAAATGAGCAAACACTTTGAATCTAATTACACTTCTGTGTGTGTAAGGGAAAAGTTTTATGTGTGTGTGTTGGCCCTGTAATGGACTGGTACCCTCTCCTGGGTTTACCCTGGCTTTTACCCAGTGACCACTGGAGATGAGCTCCAGCCTCCCAGTTCAACAACACTGAACACAATTAAGTGCACATAGGAAGTAGATGAATGTATAATTCACAGACATACTGTAGAAACGCTCTAGATGTTTCATATTTGAGTGTCTACTGTTGAATATGTATTCACTTTCACCATATGCTCCTTTTTTAGGAGCTGCATTTGGGAGGCTGGTTGGGGAAGTCATGGCAACCCTGTTTCCTCATGGGATTGTGTTTGATAGCATTCTGTACCGCATCATTCCAGGGGGTTACGCAGTCATCGGTTAGTATGTAGTTTCTTTTCTCATCTATTCTTGCTCTGTTTTGTGTTAGTGCTTTTTGTCATGGGTTAGGGTTTTTAAGTTTTGCTACCAAACTGTCCGTTTCCGATGTCGTCATGCAGTGTCTCTCTATGGATTTCTTTTTCACTGCATCCTGCCAACTTCATGCATCCAATGATTTGAAAAAGTGTCAAGTATATCTTTCTTGTCAACTTCTCTTCCACTTCTTGTCAAACTTGCTGGTCCTCCAGTCGTCACTTGCTGTCAAGTCGTCTTCCTGCCCTTCTGCCCACCTAATCCTCCTCACCTCCCCCAACTTTCACCGTTTGTTGTCTCTCTCCCCCTTTGTTCCCTTCATCCTTTCTTTTAGAACCTCTGGTTGCTTTGCTTTGACAGTTAAATGTCACAGTAGGTTTGCTCTGCAGTGCTCACCTCAGCAGCTGACTCAGAAATGTGGCCTCCCTTCATTCTCTATCCTGTTGCCCTGCAAAGGCCATCTCTCCTCTTTGTTCATTGATCTCTCCAACCAGTCTTCTTCTGATCTCATTTTTCCATCTCCATGCTGTGTTTGTGAAAATCATTATTTTTATACAGCCACCACTACCTTAATATCTTTATTGCTCTGTGTCCTGACTTGTTTAAGTCCCCTAGTTTACTTGTAGTTATATCTTCTGTTTTAATTTTGTGTCGCTGGTCGTCTTTCCATTACTGTTCCTTTGCTCTGTGTCCCATACTTCTGTCATTTTTCCACCCTATGTCTCTGACAGGTGCAGCAGCATTGACCGGAGCTGTGACTCATACCGTGTCTACGGCCGTTATCTGTTTTGAGCTGACAGGACAAATCTCCCACATACTCCCCATGATGGTGGCTGTAATCCTAGCCAACATGGTGGCCCAGGGCCTGCAACCTTCCCTGTATGACTCTATCATCCAGGTCAAGAAGCTACCGTACCTGCCAGAGCTTGGCTTTGGACACATGAGGTTTGTGTTATTTGCATAGAGATTTAACTAAAACTTCTACCATGGTGTTATATATTCTCAAATATGTGTTTGAAAGACTAGAAAATGTGTTTGGTAAATTAGTTTAACTTTTCTTTTATAAACAGGGATAACTTCTTGTAATTTGCTAATTATAAATATAAGGAAATGAGCACCACATCTGGGGATCCCCAAAGGTCTGTTCTTGGGCCAGTTTTATTTTATCTTTACGTTCTCTCTGTCTTCAATTATGGAGTTATACAACACGCTTTACTAAACGTGTGCTGATGACAAGCAGTTTTCAAATCAAGACAACAGTCAATGAGTAAGTTTGTCCATAGCATAAACAAGCACACAGTTTTAAAATCTTGTTAATGGTCATTGAGACTCTGAAAGGTACTGGGCTTAAATACATTTCAGGATTGTTTGCCAGGTGAGAACTAAGTTCAAAAGATCCCAAACCTCAACAAGGGGAGGCAGTATTTAGTTTATTTGCTCCATAAATCTGGAACCAACACCCTGAAAATCTGAGATGTGCAAAAACTGTTTGACTAAAAGCATCATAACATAACAACTTCTTAATAATGGCAGACAATTATTATTATCAGTTAACTTTCATCATGTCTTAGCAATATATGAGTTTTAAATTTCTGTTTATTTTCTTTCCATGTAATGCTTAAGTTGACTTCTTTAAATGTATTTCTAATCTTGAATGTATTTTTTTTTTTTACCTCTGCAGCCAATACAACATCTTTGTAGAGGACATTATGGTTAGAAAGGTGAAGTTCATATCATCCCAGTCGACATACAGAGAAGTCAAACACCTGTTGGACTCCTTCTCACTGAAAACTATCCCTTTGGTTGACTCTAAAGGTATGCTTATTATATATTTAAACTAGGCGTCTTAAATTGAACTGAAGCAAAACATAAAGTGAGGTACAGTTAAAATAAATTCTAATGCAGAGGAAAATCTTCTAACGTATCATAAATGAGTTTGTGTAAGGTTACATTTGCCAGCCTCAAAATCCTAAGGCACTTAAGTTAATTTTTTTTATTTGTTGCAGTCCAAGTAATTCTTATTTTTGTTGTTTATTTAGATTCTATGATCCTCTTGGGCAGCGTTGACCGGGTGGAGCTTCTAGCGCTCTGTGATTGGTGGTTGTCCCCAGAAAGAAGACTTCTGATGGAGGTAAATTACATGTAACCGGGTCATTTATTTAGATTTTTTAGACTATTTTTCATTGTTGCTGCATTAATGTGTAAGATTGCAAGTTTTACTGTTCACAACTTTGGATAATGGCCCACATAATCTGGGAAAATCCCAATATGCTTTTCATGTGACGTTTCACAAAGCCCATCATGATGTGTGTAGTGCCCTTCAGATTACATTAAATTGGATGGGAAATGTTTGCTCCATAAAACAGATATGTAATAGGTTGCATAAAACATGTGCTGAAGCATAATTGCAAATGCAGTAATTGGTCTAATGACTGGTCTACATTGCAGAAGAGGTTATGTTTAATTTAAATCATGACTGTCAGTAATTGAAACTATTTGTCTGTTTCATCTACTTAGCCGAGGCTGTTTTTGTAAGGTAATGTAATTTTATTATCAGTTTTTGTCTCTGTCCATTGAGTGACAGAGACACAAAGCAATTGTTAAAATGAAACAGAAGTAGATGGTTAGAAAATGTTTATGTTTAGGTTATATTTGCTCTGTTTTTATCTCTAATATTTTTGGTGTGACAACATTAATGGCTTTACCAACAGTGGATAATCCAGGTGGATTTTATGAAAGTTTTGTAACCATGTGTTGATATAAAAAAAATATTTTAGTTGAGTTTATTGGAGAGGTTCAATCAAGGAAAGTTCATCTCAGGAAACAAAATAAAACATTCAATTATTGGTTTTGCATAGAAATAGAATATCACTTCAAAACCTTAATACATAATTATTGGCATTTTGAAAATATTTTTGCGTATTGTGCAGTAATTTTACTTGTTTAAGCCCAAACTTGTTCATACATCTACCAGATTTAGATGCTAATTATTTTCATTTAAGCAAGAAGTTTGTTTCTGATGGAATTTTATTATTTTTTTTGTATAAAAATGTTTCTTATTGCAGTTATAACTTTACCTGTGCATGTTTTGCTACCAGACTTTGCCTTCCACTTTTTTATCAATGTGCTTATGTAACGGTTGGCAACAGGAAGTCAATCACACCGGAATCAGGATTCAGGATAGTTTTATTCCTGTTCAAAACAAGAACATTTTAAACAGCAGCTCCTGGGCTCCGGATTCTCCACAAACACCCTCTCCCCAGCGCAGCTTGGCGCAGACCGACACAGAAATGCATTAAACAAAACCAAAATTCTCTGATGTTCACTAATAAAATAAATCTACAGTCATACAAAACAATTAAAACAAAACCTAAACAGAAATAATCTGCCCTATAATTACAATCTTCCACCATAACATAGAAATATACTAAATAGATTAATTTCACATCCAAATAACATTTGAAACACACATACCTGTTCAAAACAAGAACATTTTAAACAGCAGCTCCTGGGCTCCGGATTCTCCACAAACACCCTAACCAACCAAAAGAAAAAATTAAATAACCACGTTGATACAGAAAACTTGATGGGTGTCACCAATGTGGGAGACAAATGCCCAGCATAGTGCTGCGCTAAACATGAACAGTTAAACAACAATATATATATAACATGTGAGTTTACAACATATTTTTAGAACATTTCCAATATTTTAATACACAAATGAAAGACAACTCTGTACACTTACCTCTCCCCAGCGCAGCTTGGCGCGAACTGAGGAGGGCAGCGGGAACACACAGGATATAACGCAAAAACAGGAAGTAAGAAAATAAAAGCTTCCCCACCAAAATAAAATACAATTAAAAAACAAAGAAAAACAAATATTCATAGATGAGGGTGGATTTTTGCACACTAGGAACCAAAAATGAAAGCAAAATAAAACAGAAATAATATATAACAGACATGTCAATTCAAAGAAAATTAGTTTTGAGAAGGTTCATAAAGAAAAATAAAATAAATAAAATTAACTCTGCTACACTTAGACACAGACTACATTAGAGGCCAGCTTCTTTAGCAATTTACTTTTGTGGCTTAACCCCCTTGTTTAGGGTGTCATTGATTGTCTCCTGGACAGTTTCAGGTCAGCAGCCTTCCTATGTATAACTGCGAATTGAAAGAAGATTTCAGGGATGTCCAAGTCCAGCTCTGGAAAGCTTCTATCCTTCAGCTTTTACATGCATTCCTTCTCCAAGGCACCTGAATCAAATAATTGGCTCCCTACCAGGACTCTGCATAGCTGGATGACATTCTGATAAGAGAATTCAGCCGTGTGATTCAGGTTTGCAGGAGAAGGAATGCAACTAAAAGTTGCAGGATAGTTGAGGACTGGACTTGGCCACCGCTGGACTAAAGAATGTAACCCTCTACTATTTCTAAAAGACCTGACCATCACATTCTATCTGTCTCTGTGGATTATATACCATGTCAAATGTGAAAGTATAGATGTTTATTTATTCATACAAAATATCCATGTACTTTAAAATCTCTCTCTGACTGTGAGCTCAGGGTCCGAGCCTACAGGAGCAGATTCAGTGTCCAAAAAGCAGTTGGGAGTCATTCGCCTTTGTAGATGAGGAAGAAGATGAAGAAAGAGTCAAGGTGGGCCAACAATTTGCTTTATGTTTTATTCCTGATTACATCTGTTTATTAAAACAATGCATCATTATGTTTCAAACCATAATAGTTGCTTGTATTTTAGCAACTTTACCTGCACATTTAAGACCAAGCAATTAAAAGAAAACCATAAAAGTAGAATATAATTCTATTCCCTAAGAGCATAATTAGCTAAATAGAGCATCCCCTTAACTGACAGTTAAACCTAACAGTGGTATAGCATTGCAAATGAAAGAGAACAGGCCAGTTATAATAACCAATATGAATGATAAAGTACATATGCTGTCCAATTTGGAGCATCAGCTTAGACATCCAGAGCTGTGTCTTGTTGTTTTCAGGGCAGCCCTGTTCAGGAGGAAAGAAACGGCCCTGTACCCCGTCCGAAACCTCAGGACCCTTCCTTCAACCACACTGCACCTGCAATTGGTGAGTTCAAAGGTCAACACATTTTTGCATCATGTATTCACCTCTGAAAACACATGAAACATAATTTCACTGCAGTTGAAGAAAAATAATTAGCAATTTCCTACCTTGTAACCCAAAGATAAAGCTTCTGTTGGAGTTAATTACTACATAAATAACCAGTTTTTACAGGACATGAAGTCAATGTAGCATATTCCACTACATTCTGAGAGCCTTTCAGAGAAATATTGATTTCTTTATACAAGTTCAATCACTAGACTGATGTAAATTAATATCTGCTTGGTGTGAGTACAATTCCTTCTTCTCCTGAAATGAAAAGCTGATATACATACCCAAACAAACTGGTTTTTAAAAAGAGAACATTTAGTAAACTTTTTCTTCCCACCTCACAGTTATGCATTATTTTTATTAATCTATCAAACAAAATTCCAATTAAAAATAAACAAAACCATCCAACACCTGTATCTTGCGGCTTCACAAAAGCCCAATGTGCCAAACTTGGTAAGACTCGTTTAATTAATGTCAGCTTTTCATTAAACAGATTCAAACATGTTTGTTCCTCTGCACTCAACAGATGTCAAACAATCAGACAGTGTAGCTTTGTATTGCTAACAGCAATGACTTGGCTGAATGTTTGCAGGGAGGAGGCAGATGGTGTGTGTGGATGTGTGTGTGAGTTGTTGCACAGTAGCTTATCAAACTCAACAATTTGCAGCCTCCAAGTAAAGTGGTATCTAGGCAACCACAATAAAAAGGTTTCGTTGATTCCTGCAGAATCTTGACATTCCATTTGCAGTTGGGTTACTTTCTTTAAAGGTGTGTTTGTATAATTCATTGACTCTCGTCTTGTTTCCGCCGCTCCTCTTTCAGAAAAAGGTCCGCTGCAGTCGGTGAGGAGAACGCTCAGAAATCTCTTCACCTCTAAAAGCAGACAGTCGGAGAAGGAACTGCAGGTGTGTCTGTGAATGCAGCTTTTGTTGAGCGTCACTCAATTTCTGAATGTGCTCCATTAACAATGCAGTTCCTCTGTTTTTTGCTGCTCTGCATGTTATTTTCTGGGTGGTAATTTGTTCCTTTTTCCTTCAATCAGCTATTTAAATGTGACTCGGTAATGAAATGTTATGAACTATTGAAATGCAAATAGCTCTTCATCCCTTAGACATAGCCTACCGCCAGAACCGCGTTCATGCACGGCTACTGGTAGGTGAACTTGTTAGCATTTGACCTCTATTCATTGATCGACAGAGATTTTAGAATGACAACCTGCTTCAGAAAAACCTCTCCAAAATCACACATTTCTTTCCAATCTTCTCTCATCTGGGAAGTTCTTATATTCAGCTCTGCAGTCAGTCTGACTCACCGAGGGAAACAAAGCTCGTCACCTGCAGGCTGGAAAATCACACTGTACGGAAGTGTGTGGTTGCAAGCTGGAGGGTTCAGAATGTGATTTCTGTTCTACCCACTACTGAGGGTTTTGTATTGTCGAGCTGATTATCAATTCCCTCCAAGGGGAATGTTTTCACATCAAACAAAAATCTATTACTCAGAATATCAAGCAGACATGCAAGGGGACATTTTCCACCAGCATTCTTCCATAATGTTGTTGGAGGTAGTAATTTACTGTTTAGACCACTATTTTTACCCACATTCTAAGCCGTTTTGCAAGTAATATAAAAGCTTTAGCGATATTGGCTGAAAGTAGAAAACACTCCCCTTGTTTCCTTCTTATTTAAATAAACAGAAACAGCATTTCATTGGAGTAAGATTATGTTGTTTCCATCACTTGGAGGACAAAGCTTAGCAAGACATGAAGTCAATGCATGCAGGACAGGCCCCACTTCTACAAAATAAGTCACAGCAGGTGTTGCCCTGAATTTCAACGCCTGCATCCATTCAGGCCTCTTCTGCTGGATGTGCTGTGCAAATTGCAGAGAGACTGCAGGCCAAAAATAAAATAATCCATATAAAATACAGCCTCTTCAAACAGAAATTCCAGCTTTTAGATGTCATTTTTAGAGCCAAGGCAAATGTTTACCATTACTGTTAAGGTAACATTTTCATTTCACTTGCAGTCACCCCAAACTTCAGATTCAGAAACTAATCTCTTTTTTTTTGTCTTTTCTTGTTTTATCTCAAGGAACCCTGTCCTCCTCCTCTATCAGACTCAATGTCTTCAGACAAGGTAGGTCAATGACCAATGAAGAATATTAAAAGATTTTCTAGATTGTTTGTATTTCTTTTATAAACACAGTGGTCAATTTTCCACTGTCTTAAATCAATTTATTTTCACAGTAAAGTATCACTGTGGTTTTGAGTTCTTGATTTTTTTTTAAAGCCATCAATTTCCATTCTATTCTGCTAACTGTTGACGAGAGAATCCCATCATCCACCGATACAAAAACTGATTTCATCTGAACAAAGTGTTTCATCTGAATGAACCACAAACAAAATCTGCTGCAATTTGACCACAGAAAAGCTGAACTTGTGCACTGTGACGATCTTGAAGTAATTTGAAAGCAAGGAAACACATCCGTGTCCTTGCAAAATATTATTACTGCATGCAAGATGAAATCATTTTTCTCCTATGTTCATTTTTTTTTTTATTCTCTCTCAAAGAGACATATTCAAGGAGTCCACATTCTGATACACAACACTGTTTAAAGGTTGTTTAATGATAGAAATATCACCAATGACATGTGACTTAATAGCAAATTTGCTGCATTGGAGATTCAAAGCACGGAGGTTTTTCTGTGCTAATCCACCAAAACACCATTATTCCCTGTGGTGTTTTTCTGTCTGCCAACCTGGTTCTACTCTTTAGACGCCTTCCCAAAATTCTCCACACCATCCTGTAAAAAAGCGCTGGCTCTGTCACAAGAGGCCGAGTCTTATCTGCAAAATCCAAAAAGAGGCTAAAAGGTGTCACACCCTCTAAATCTCAGGGTAAAAGCAGGACATGCAAGGACTAGACACAAGGTCTCAAGGTTTTTCAATGCCCTTCTTATTGCAAAAGAAAGGCATTCTCCTCTTTGTAGCTAAAAATACAGTTTACAGACATGAATATTTTTTACCCATACTGACATCTCAGTGTTTATAAATTATATAATGGCTATTTTTATTGCCTGATAGATTTGTTCATATGTTTTATGACTCCTCAGAAAAAACAAATCTTGATGCTTCCCTCTGGCTAAAGTCATACTTCTGAATACAATAACTTTGTTTCCCCCTGGTCTGAATCTCAGTCGGCTGATTCATCCCTGTGGCCTTGGTGTTTATTTGCTGCTGCAGATCAAAGCGTGGGAAGAGGCAGAGATGGACAAGCCGATGGAAATCGATGAGATACGAATTGACCCTTCACCTTTCCAGCTGGTGGAGAGAACTTCATTGCACAAGGTTGGTGGAGGAAGGCTTCCCCCTGAATCCTTGTAAAACAGCTGTTCTCCTGCTCTAATTTCATTTCTCCGAAAGCGTTACGTCGAATCTTAACACCCTGGACTTTCTGCGCATTCGGAAATGTTGTGCATAATTGGAAATGTATAATCTAATCAAAATACCACATCTGTTGATTTTCTAGTCTTGTTTCAGTGGGTGTTATGTGACCTCGTTGTCCACATATGAGTCAGATTTCTCCCCGGTCTGAAATTACAAATGTTCATGCATTAATCAGTGCCATATATTCAAACCATGATTTCTCACATCTGTACCTGCAAACAGAGCTGCAGGCATGTCGAAGGTGGATCATGAAAAAGTAAAACGCTGATTTTCATATTTATGCTGCTAATGAATGATAAAATATGCAAGAAAAAAAACCTAATACATTGGCGTTGATGTTTAGAAAAGCAGTTGTTACACAACAATAAAGGCCGAGGTTTGGATCTAAGTTTCAGTTTGAAGTTTCCATGTCTTCTTATACATTCATGAGTATCACTTGGATACGCCAGACTGTCAAAAATGTGGCTGATAGAAGTCAATGAGATAAAAACTGACCCTTCATCAAACTAAATTGCTCTTGCACATTCCTAGCTGTGTGTAAAGGACTGGTGACCTCTGCAGGGTGTATAAAAGAGGACTTTTTATGAAACCAATACTATTCCCTATATGACCAAGGCGCTTATTCATCATTCTTATTATTAAGTAAAATAAAGACGTTATAAAACACATATTAATTAATCTTGTTGTGAGAGCTGTCAAAAAATTATCTGTACATGCAAGTATTTTGTACAATAAATTTGATAATCCAAGGCATTTTTGCATTGTTGGTGTTTGCACAGTTATTGTTTAATTTTGACTAAAACGGCCATCCCCTGTTGCAGGAAACCTTGATGTGCAGAATTTCCTAGGTTTGCTGATTGTGAGCTAATTGATACATTCTGAGACTTTTCTTAGAACTTCAGTTTTTTGTTAAATTGTTTATTTTTTTTTATTTGTTAGTCATTATGATTTAAAACAAAATATTTTACTACTTCATTGCTTAAGATGACTGTCATTCTTTTCCGTTTGCATTTAAATAGCAGTGTGAAAGACGATATAAACATTCCAGAAATCTCTCTTAGTTGCAAATTTTCTCACATTATGTAAATCTGCTTTCTGGTAACACTTCCACACACTCATTAGACTTCTGCTCTTTTCATGTATTCAGCAGTTGGTACCACAGGATTGAATTCCCATTGTTATAAATCTTAGTGGATCCAGGATTTACTGTCATTTTCAGGAGGCAGAAGCGAATAAACACCATCTTAGCCTTATTATTCTTTTTTGCGATTTCATTTCCATGGTAATACACAGAATACCGTGCTCATTCATGTGCAAAAGAGTCCTTGTGATTGAGATGTACTGATGCATACAAAGAGCTCCCCTCAGTGGGACCTCAGCTGCTGTATGAAAAATATAGTTTGTGCATTCAAAATATGCTCAAGGACTTTCCCTTTGTGTTGAGTCTGAAGCCACTTTGTTCTCTTTGTGTCTAGACAGAGCAGACAGAGAAGCACTGGGCTTGTAAATCGTCTGAAGTCACAGACAGATAAAAAGAAATGTCCTTTTAGGAGCAGTATTTTCTGACAGTTGGCTGAGTTACCTTTTCACCTTGTCTCTGCAGACTCACACATTATTCTCCCTGCTTGGACTAAGTCACGCTTATGTGACCAGCATTGGAAAACTTGTGGGGGTGGTGGCTTTAAAAGAGGTAAGAAACTTAAGTTAGAAAAGTCACTTTTTCTGCTTCTCTCTCTTGCCATTGCACTACGTATGACACAAAATATCAGCATTTTGTTCATGCAACCAAATACTGACACCTAACTCTTCTTCTTTGATAAATAAGAAAAACAATGAATAGATGCTGCACACATTTGTGGTCAATTTCCAATTTGGCCAATCATTTGACTTTCTGATACCAACTGTATCCTATTGTAATTTTTAAAAGCATAAACACATATTTCCTATCATTTCTGTCACGGTAAACAATTATTATTAGAAGCACAGAAGAGTGTTACTGGGAGATATAGGTGGCAGAAAAGGAAGAAGTCATGCATTGTCTAATGACAGTTTTGTGGCCCATGATTGAAATTTATATTTTTGTTTAAATCAGTATATGTATATCATTTGCTCTATGTTTAAATGTTGACACAGTGGTCAAGCTTATACCTTTTAGACTAGCTTTAAGTAATTCTGTTGCATTTCTTTGACTATGAAGCCAAAATGCAAATGCTTTTTCCAATTGCTTTAGACTTAAAAGTCTCTTAAACTGTCTGAAATTATTGACTTCAATAATATAGTGTTTGTTAATGACTGGCTTTGATTTCCATAATTTTCTAAGAGCCTTGTACTGAAATGTCATTTTTTTCTTCTGTATCGTCTTATAAATCCTATTTTCTTAATTCTTTTTCTTTTATTTCCAATTCCGTTTCCCTTTCTTTGCTTCCTCAGCTCCAGAAGGCCATCGAAGGCTCCACGCGCTCCGGTGTCCGGCTCCGGCCCCCTTTGGCCAGCTTTCGTGACATCAGCAAACACAAATCTGTCCCTAAACCTCCACCCTCTTCTTCCAGTGCTCCCTCATCTCCCACTGCAGCCTCTCCACCATTGTCTCAAATTATCCCAGAGCCTCCCCTCTCTTTAACCCCTGACCACAACCAACACCATAATAATAATCATCATCATGATCACCATGAGCATGAAACAGAGGTATGGATTGAGGGTGTACCGAGGGAAGTAGAGGAGTGTAGCAGCAGCATCCGCCGCTGCAGCAGCACTTCAACAAGTGGAAGTTACAGTTACAACAGCAATCTCACCCTCCCTCCACCTTCCACTCCTCCTCCTGCCCCTCCTTCCACAACCCCTCCTCCATCACCTTCTTCCTCCATCCCTCTCTCCACCCTGAGGCCTTCACAGAGACTCCTTCAGGTGGTAGAAGACAGCGATGATGAGCCAATGGTTTAGCTTACAAACAAAGAATATTTTTTATACTGGAAATTTGTATTTAAAGATTTTTTTTTTCCATTCTTAACTTATCATCCTGGTATTTGGGCACTTTATCTACCTCTTTATCACACTGCTACAAATTTTTTGTGATTTAGAGATTTAGTTCTCCAGCAAAACCTTTGCCATCACTTCTAAACACGAAGCAGTGGTGTTGTACCTCAGGGATCAATCCTTTCCCCCTTTTACTTTCAATTTACATACCTCCTTTACACCAGCTTAACCAGAACTTATAGCATATTGCATTGGTTGAAAATAGGAAATGAAACTTAAAATTATGTTTATGATTGTTTCAGAGCCAAAGCAGCATAGAAAATTTTGACATAACATTCACCATAACCTGCTTGTTGGAAATGTTTTGCTTTTCGTTAAGAATTCCATGGAAAACAAGAAACAATAAGTAAATGCATCCCATGCTGCTTTCCTATTTTTATTAGTTAATTTGATTATTTCTGTTTAATAACTGTTTCCCATCCAAAATGAGGCTGCACTTTTATCTATTTATTGTTAGCAACTTTGTTGAATTAGCAAAATATTGCCTGGCAAAAACCGTCGCGGCTCCAGAGAAAGGTTCCTGTAGTGCCAAATTACCTGATTGTTCTTGTCTTAGTTTTTAAAATGATATCAGAACAGGTGAAGTTAATTTGGCACAAACTTTTGGGATAGCAGCTCAGTATTGAAGCTGTTCAGTCCACCATGAAAGACTGGCCAAAGCCCCACAACAACCTCTGTGCTGACCTTGGGGAAGCAGCCTCAGAGCTCATTTCTCCATGGCTAAGTTGACAAATGAAGCAGCTAAAGGCGACTGACAACACCAAACCCTCTCTAACAAAGATTCCTTTTGGTTTTTTTTTTTTTTTTTTACAAAGCCACGTCCCAGAATGACTCACAGCTTCTTTGAATAATTTACAGGAGAATATTTATGAGAATCAAATCGGACAGAACAAATACCCATCTACGGCATCCTCAGCAAAAGTGATGGTTAGTGTCTATGACAGTAAATGACAGCTGACAGTTTGTTGTATAACTTGTTGTATAACTTCTACACATGATAGAGATTCTGACATCTGAAAATTTATAAGATTCCAGATGGGAATCTTCTAAATTAGTATTTAAATTTAATTTAATTTAAATATTTAAAGGAGGAACAGTCAGGATGAATTAATTCAGGGGCTGGAAGTTAAGACACAGAAATGTGTCTTGCATCACGAATAGAAGGTTTTATGTCTCCTCTCAATACAAATGCTGATCTGTATTTGAAATCTGCAGTTCTCTGTTACTGAAAGTCTGTTTATATGGAAATTAGAAGTTGGGTGCATGTTCTAACTAAAGTTAGTACCTTAGAGGACTCCTTAATAGAACAAAGTCATTTCATTCACAGATAATGTCATAAAAGGTTTGCGAAAAGAAAAACTTACACATCAAACCACACTCCAGCTACCAACAAGGTTCTGAATTTTATTTTCTGCTCACTAATGAAATTTTTACTGAAATACATCTGTCCTTATGATGCACCATTTCCAGATTTCATCTTATACGCTTGCACTATTAAGTTCTCTTAACGCAAAGTTAGTCCTCAGGTGCTGTTTTAAAAGTCTTTAAATGTATCTTTTTTTAAGCAGCTTTTATGTTCACATAAAATATGTATCTGTATCTTAAGCAGGTGTTTAGTCTCTATAATCTTGTATCATCTGTTTATCTGGGGTAATAATATTTATTTATTAACTTATTTATTTTTTTGGTGTTTCTGTAGATTCAAATGTTTTCAGATGTTCATATAACTGCAAAATAGTAGATTAATAAAGCTTTATTTGAATGTAGATTTGGAATTTATTTTGCCTTCACTGAATGTTAACTTCTAAGAGCCTGCAACTAAGTTCCTGTATGTATAAAATATCCTGACTAAAACATTTTTTTCTTTTTCTTGCCACCTTGAGTTACTGCTTATAACAGAAAATGAGTGCTATTTGCAGCTGGTTAAAGTGATGTTCGGTTTTAAAGCCTGGAACAGATAATAACTGATTTAGCATCTTAATTTTGTATGATTTGAGATTAGTTAGCTCCCATACGCATTAGCTAACAGCTAATCAAAGTGGGGCCAAGTCAGGTTTTTGGTGTCCTCAAACGCCAGTCTCAAATTTAATAGTGATCACAAATGTTATTTTACAAACTTCCATCGCAGTTGCATTTCATTTTTAATATTGTAGCTGAGCATATCTTGTCATAGTAACTCTGTAACCACTTTCTACCTTATAAAACCTTTTCCGCATATTTGTTTCATACAAAAGACTGTCAATGCTATGCTATCCCTGACTACAGTGTAAAAAACTACATACTTCAACAAAAACACATTTTTAACAGTTGAAGTTGTGCAACTTCACTGTTGGAATCAATTTGAACAAAAATAAATACAAAATAGTGTTGAAGAATGCATGTTGAAAATAAGGTGCCTTTTTAGTATCCTTCATAAATGCCATTTGCTTTGTAGCAATCTGCAGGTGAATGTTCAAGTTCAAAATGTTTATTGCAGAAAAACAAAAATAAATGTTAGACAATTTACTGCATCGCAGTAATCCCACAAAGTCTAAAGTAAAATTATAAATGCACAATGTGAATTAATGCATTTCCTCCCATATACATTAAGTGGGCTTTTTTAATGACATTTTAAAATATATCTTACTTTCTGTGGACATTTCTAATGGTTGTCTAGGCTCTTCAATTTATGACTGAGCCTCTATAAGTGCCACATAACAGATCTCTCTTTATTAAAAGTCTTTTTTCACTTTATTGGAAATGAGTTGGTGAATTTTACCATTTTATATTCGCTATTTCCATGTCATTATCTAAGTGTCACTTCTGTAGTTGAGCTTCAGAGCAGCTCACAGGATAAGATCTTGGAGCAACATGAGGACAAGAAGAGGGCGGATGAGTATGAGAGCAATTAGGGGCTTCAGGGTCTTGATCGCTGGAGAGTAAGAATGAAATGAAAGCCACATGTTGCTCTGGCTTTTTCTTCACGTTCCATAGTTTTAAAGTAAATTCTGTCATATGTAAAGAAATCCAGGAACCATTTTTAAGTAGATATTTTAGCATGAACCTATATGGATTTTGCTAAGCTAAACCATTCAAAATTATCGACCAGACAAGGACTTTACTGCCTTTACAAAGCAAGAAAAATATTTAGGTTAATGAATGAGGCAAATGTGCTGAGTGGAACCGTTTCACATTTTTTCTGTGGCGCTAATAAGGATCTGTTTTATTATTAATTTTACTCCTCAGAAATTAATTAGAAAGCAGACAAAACCAAAAAGCGTAGATTTTGCATTTTGCATTATCTCTACAAACAGAGACAATTGGTGAAGATGGAAAAATAAGCATTTGGTCAGAAAATAAATGATCTTTTTGTTTACAGTACCACAATTGCCTACTATAAGGTTTGGTAGATTTTAGAGTTGCACAGTTTATCATATAGCAGTTATCCTTGCAACGTGAATATGACATGTACTTTTAGTAGCCAAGATGCTAAAGCATAGAGAGGACGTCATAATGAAAGTAGCAAGTCCAGAGAATAGTTGTGATCAATATTTCCATCATAATATTCAGCAATAGCATCGCTATTAAAATTTTGTCACTTTTCAGTGTGCGATTATTTTATAGTAAAAGTAGTTGGCTGTAATGAAATATTTCATTGAAACAAACAAATTGACTGAAATATTAGATTGTATGAATCTAAAATACACTGAAATACTAACCTGAATGTTTTTTCATTATGTACAACATGCTTAAAATAACCAGCGCTGATATGAGTTTGTTTCCCAGAATATATATTTTACACACGAAGCAGCTACATTCATACACACATACATACAGTCTTACATTCATACAGATACATATCAGTTTATTGTTTTTTTTTTTTCCTTTTATTGTAAAAAACAATTTGTTATATTATTACTTGTATACTGGGTTATACTGTTAGGGCTAGGTCACTGTTAAAAAGCATGCATTTTTTGGTTGTGGTCAGATGGTTTGTTTGCAAATAACTCAAAGTGCACGCCCCAGGTTGCTCTGAGGTTTGAGTCTCCACTTTGCATTAAGCAGGAATGCAGTCCAACCAAAATGCATCAATTAGCAAACCAAACAGCTCTCCAACAGTCTCTCTGAGACTTCTGTTGCTCCAAGGAACAGGAACCAAACACTCTGAATTATTTAACAACCCATTTTTGTATCCATAATTATTGTATTGCACAGATGTGTTTTTTTATTTTTTTTTATTTGCCCTTTTATTCATCTCTCAGTTTTGTCTCTGTTTTGGGGAATTTTGCATCCATCCTTTTATCCCCTATTTGGTTTCCAGTCCTGGCTCGTCAGTCGGGTTGGTCCAAACATTAGTAATTCATTATATCTTCAGTTTCTGAGTTCCAGCAGGGTAAGACTTCTTGTCCCTCCCGTCCTTTAATATTACTTGTTCATAGTCTTGTTCAGGTCCACTTTTTTGATGCTAAACTGGGAGGCTGGGAGTTGATGGCATCTAGTTTGTATACATTACATCCAACATTTCCAGCTGAAGTAGCGTTTACTCGGGTTTAGAAAGGTAAATATTTGGGAGAAGGAAGGAAGGGGTGGGGTAGAAGCTTGATTAATTATTGAAGTCTTAGTCTTTTTGTGGCCGTGTGACTCAGTTTGTTGCAACGACGACAATGGAGCCCTCCTCCGCCTCCTCGTCTTTCTCTTCGAGCGATTGGACGACGCAAGGGGTGACATCAAAAGGTATCCTCTCTGGAATGGGTTCTGCAGGCTGCGCTGGTGTTCCTGGGCTTGAACCCCTTGTCGTTGGGGCTTCCTCCCTCAGCGGGGCTGGTGTTAAAGAGCATGTCTCTGGCTCTAAGGTCAGTGTTATCTCCTCTACCTGTAAAATGTAATCAAGGTCATTTATAATGCCTTTTAAACAAATTTATTAACGTTTTAGCTGCTCTTGTGACACTAAAACTTTTGACTACAGGTTTTAAGGAAACAAAAAGTTTCAGCGAACCCTTGTCAGTTCTTCTTCCTCTTCATGTTGCTCCAGGATCCCTTCGGATTCAGGCTCCGGTTCCTCCCCGACCGTCTCTACAACTCCTCCAACCATGTCGAGCATCTGCTCACTCAGCTGACCAACGATCTCCACCTGAAACCAGATGAGGTTACTGATTCCATTGAATTTCAACTTTTTGTTTCAAAGTGGTAACAATTTAGTTGTCATGTTTAACAGGTATGTACTATATACTTCGATTTAAAACCCCAAAGAAAGGCAAAAAAATGCAACAGAGTAAGTAGGGAAGAGGGGCAAGCAGTTTCCTGTCGCAACCCAGCTTGGCTGGGCATCAGGGTTAAACAAGACTTCAGTGGATGCAAGATGTGCAGATGCTGAATCCAAATGCCTCGAGTCGTAACCTTGCAGACTTTCAGACATGCCATCATGGAGGCCAGGATGATTTACCCAGGACTGTTCCACAAAATTCATCAAATCCACTTCAAGCTGCCATGCAGATCTTTGGGAGTTCGCCATGCAGACCTTCATCCTGTCTCCTACCTGGAAGACACCTCTGGCACTTCATCACTCACTGCACTACAGTTGTGTGCTAAATAGGCCTGCTGATATAAAAAACTCAAACCAGTAAGACAAAAAAAATTAGTATACACACTCTCTTTACCTTTGATGCAGTGAAACAAAAACATAAACCTCTGTGACACTTAACAGGTTGGGAGTGATGGCCGTGACATCTCTGCCTTATAGTGACTAAAGACAGATTTTGTATGCTTGTGACTGTATGTGCTTCAAACACCCTTGTGTCCTTGTTCTCTGTCAGACCTGTTCTGTCAAGCCTTATTAAACCATCACCTATTTTGCAAATATAATCTGTTAATTTTGAGTCAGCAGGCAAATGCATACCTGATGGGCCTCTACCTGCGCAGCCCCCCACAGGTCCACTAGCCGGGGGTGAGTGGGAGGACCGAGGCTGTGGATGGTGCTGTTCGGAGTGGCTTGGAGGGAAGGGGAGCCACTGTGTAGCCTGTGCTCCAAAGACTGGAGAAACGAATGAAAGGCAAAGGGACAAGCAGAAGACAGCCCACGTCAAGTTAAGTTAACTTTATTTGTGTAGCACATTTCCACAATAACCTCATAAAAAACATAATAGAGTGACCAGTTATGAAACAAGCTGCAGACATTACATTTTGTTAAATACATTCATCAAAATCATCACTCAAATATATAACAAGTTTATTGATCAATGTTCCAGTTATTATTATGCTGCATGCTGCTTCTCCATGTTTGGTTCTGGTTCTGGAGCAGCAGAACAGGCTACAACTAGAAGAATAATCAGAATAATACTTGCTGTTTCTGTTAGAAATAAAAGCAATAAAATCATGCGATTATGTTTTGCTTGAATTGACCCATAACTGCTGGATTTTTCTTATGTGTACAAATTTGCTTTTGTGATCCCTTCCATTTTAAAGAAATGTAAGTCATCTTATTAAAGTGTGCACTGCACACCTGTTGTTGTTGGTACTGCAGAAACTGTTGCTGCTGGTAGTGATGAAGCTGTTGTAGGTGCTGGAGTTGACTTTGTTGCTGCAGTGCAAGATGAGTCTGGTGCTGCTGAAGGTAACTGCCAACCGTGCCCTCATACCCATCTCCAGGGGTACCTTCTGCTCCACTACCACCACCTGCAACACCCGCAAAATGCCTAATACCTTGTGCTCACACAACCATACATGCGCTTGGAGACTAATTTAGCACAAAAGGTTTTAAGAGTGTAATTAATCCTTACCGGCAGCCATGATGTAGGAGCCTGCGGCAGGTGAAACCACGCCCGAGGGCTGGCTGGTGATTGGGTCCCAAGCATCAGAGGAAGACAGGCAGTACAGGCCCTGTGAGACGTAGGTGTGAGGCCAGACATCTGCAGAGGAGTGATGGAGCACCTGGTCTGTTCAAAGATGCACAGAAACATGGAGATGTGAGGTATAAACAAAAAGACTGTTCAGAAGGGGAGAAGCAATTTCATTTATTGACGAGATTTCCTCACATTGACTTTAATAGGAGTGTTATTGACCTATAAACATGTTTGTTATACACCAAACACGTGGACATTGTGGAAAACCATCTCCTCTGTCCAATAAAGTTGTAACTGATGCTGTGTTTATGTGCCGTACACTTGTGTTGATGTTTTATGCTAAATGAAGCCTTGCAGAGCCCCATATGGTGGCGTTAATGAAAGCAAAGCTGCAGAGCTAAGTCCTTGTGGTAACCTACAGGGTCCCGCAGGGCTTAGACAAAGTTCTACACTGCTAAACACCAGTGAGAAAAGAAATGTATTCCTGTCACAGTGGCACTTGGCATGAAAGTCCTGGTTAGAGTTGCAAATTCACTACAGATTATTTTGGAGTAGCTAGAACCATCTGTAGTTGTCATAGAGCTCCTTGTTTCAATTATCTTTATTGCAGTTATGTAATGGTAGTCTCTTTGATATTAAATAGGGTTTTCTAAACCATCTACTTTTTCCTGGTTCATTAATGTCTTAGGCTGGAGCTAAATCACAGCAGTGCCTTTTAGCTTGAGCCCGTCAGTTTTTAGTTTAAAAACAAGTATAAAGAACGCTCTTCAATTATTTGTGTCATTCTCACTGTCCTTTAGATTTCTAAGTCAGTTCTCTCATACAGCACATGTTAAACCCCATCTGATGTTTCAGAAATGACAGGCTGTCATCCGGATTTGTCATTTGGAAGTTCCTGACTAAGTGCCCTGCAGGAGTGAAAACCAGAAATGTGCAGCAATGTGGCTGACCTCCAAAAGTACTTGACTTTTGGCTAAAAGTGTGACTGATGGGGCTCCTTTTTAGTTTTCAACACTCACATTCAGAAATTTAATGTGACACCAAAGACATATGACTAAATAAGAGAAATTTAAAACCATTTCGTTTTGCTCGCTGTAGGAGCATAAAATCTGTTGTGTTTAGATTCTAGCAGCCTTAAGTATACAGACTTGGAGGGATTTCCTAGATGTAGTCTTTAATTGAGAAATTGACTCAATTCCATCTAAATGTGCAAATAGTAGAAATGAAGAAAGACAAACCTAATCAAGCCTTTATGTTTTTGACAGCAATAAAATGCATAGCTCTTACTTATTCACTTATTACAGTATCAAACAGATTTTAAGCATTATTATCAGCAAAAGGTCAAGCTAGTAGCAATAATGTCACAAAGACATGTGGCATGTGGGTGAGCACAGGCTTGATGTTCAACAGTAATAATAATATTAGGATAATTAAATGTATTTGCTTATCAGGAAAGGACCCATCTTACAAAGTACCTGTTTCTATTTCCAAGTATGCTGTTCACTGGAATAAGCAAATTGTGATGAATCAAGAACTCTTTACAAAAAGTCACACATCATACATTCCCTGGACATTGGCTCAGGTTTTTCTGTTAAATAAATTCGTACCGTGATGGTGCCTTTGTAGCAGTGTGCAGTCGACAGCTGTAATTAGATCGGGCAAATTGACTCCTGCTACAGTTTAAACCTTAATCTTGGTCTGTTAAACTGCCAAGATGAAAATTTGACAAAGGCATGCCTATGGTTCATTCCCTCCCACACAGCGGGCATGGCTCGCCTCTGGCTTAAATACCAAAGATCTAAACTGCCTGTGAACTTCATCTGAAATGTTCCTGTGGCCAATGCAGTCAGCAGCTGTATGGGTAGAGGCAGTGAATGACTCTTCATCATGTTATACTCTAAGACCAGCTGCATTTGAACACAGTTCCAAACTGACTGCCTTTGGAAACTAAAAGCAACTGATGAGCTTGTTGTCCTTTTAGACCAAGAATCCTCTTGGCGACTAAATACACTCTCTCTTCACAAATCAGCATTTCCAATAGCTTCTATTAAGGCTAAAACTACTGATGTCAAAGACATTTTCTGATTATTATATTTAAAGCTTTGCATGAAGAAAATATTTGTCAACATTACACTCGCATGTCAAAATGACTGTAAACAGATGAGTAATTACACAACCGTACATCTTTGAAAAGCAGAAGTGGAGCCTCTTGCACAACCAAGAACAATGCAGCAAGTGATTTATGGATGATTAGCCAACAATAAAACACTTTTCTTTTCCAGAAGCCATTGTACAGAGCATACAGTGGTGAAACCAGCCTGGAGGTCTGCATGTGTTGCTAGGTGAGGGGCTTTATGGCATTACATTCAGAAGGTTTTTGAAACGGTTTGCAAACACCAAACATCATGAACTTATTGCCAAAACAATCACTGGATATCACCACTTAGGTAGAAGAAACATTCAGAGCTTTAAAGCTCATTTACCTCTGCTGGTAATACTCTCCTGGTTGACCTCGCTCAGGTGAGCGACGCTGCCCTGGTTCGAGCCAGCTCCCATGCTGTCACCATCCATCGAGTTCCACCCAAACAGAGTCGCCTCAGAGATTGCAAACTGCTGCATAATACCTGAGGAGGGAACAGAGAGCCATCAGTACAAGCTGAGAGGCAGCAGGGCTCATGTTAGAAAGTGTAACATGCAACAGTATGATGCCTTATCTTACTAATTAGGGCTGGAGAGCCTAATAAGAATCTCAGACCCTGCTTTGCTGGTGCATACAGGTGTTAATTTGTGATTAAAGCAACAACAACAGTCATTAACATGGAGAACCAGGCAGCTTTGAGAGCAGTGAAGGAGAATATGGAGGGGAGTGTTTACTCCAAATGGGAAATCAAGATTTGTTGAAAACAAGTAAATGTAAGCCTAATCAACCAGAATAACTTATTTCACCAGTATATTTGTGAACCATATAAAGAGCTGGTCTTGAATATAGTCAATATAACACAATCACTTGTTTCTGGACATTGTATATTGTATAAATTAAAGTCCAGGTGTTTACCTGCTGCAAAGCGAGCCTCCTTCTCGCCGTCACTGAGGTCGCTGTAAGCATCGTTTTCCAACCTCCTCTCCTTTTCCCGCTGCAGGTTGGCACGCCCTGTGCTCCCGCACGGCCCCGCCGTCGGTTTGCCCCAGCTTTGCCACTCGATCATGTGGGCAACCCGACCCTGGGCCATGGCAGTGGGCTTGGTCACCTTGTCCTTCATTGACCGTGTCACACCTACACCAAGTTTGAGGGCGGCAGGAGTTGCAGGCCAGCAACAGACACACGTAGACAGAGACAAACACACCAGACACACACACACACACACACACACACACACACACACACACACACACACACACACACACACACACACACACACACTCAAAAAACATTTTCTCACTCTCAAAAAAAAAAAAACCCCCCCCACCGAGA